GAGCAGATGGTCTGAATCGCTTCCAAGCCTTTTCGTCATCTCCAATTTGCTGTTCGTCTTCATTCTCATCTGGTGAGCTTGCATTAATGAGCCCACATCTGACTCGCAAATTACCTACCGACAGGAGATTACGATCTTCCTCCGGTGGCAGTGAATATTCCTGATAAATAGGCTTATCAACGGGCTGACAATTCCACTCTCGACCCTCTGTGCTTAAGGTATTGTCATATCCAAAGGTCTCCACTGCAGGCTCATCAGGGTTATACTGCTCTGTCACGCTGCGTGTGAAGCTGAATGCGATGCGACCAAAAACTTCAATCAGCAAACTGTGAGTCATTATCCAGGTAAGAGAGTCACCGAGGAAACACTTGGGATTTTTGATACCGAATGAACATGTTTCGAATAAGCTCCGGTTTAATAGTGTAATGCTTCGAAAGTGAAAGTGCCACTGAACAAAGGATATTGTTTTGATATTTTTTTGATATTGCACCGATATTGTTTTGAATGAGCTCCAGTTTCACCGTACGGTGTAATAAATGAAGTAGCACTCACGAATCAGAAAACATACATGATAAACGATTCTAACACCTGCAGCCACATCAAGATGTCTGTCAAGGGACCTGATTAAGAGCCTCATTTGTATTTCATGGAAACGAACAAAGTTTCGAAGAATTTACTACCCTCCTGTGCAAAGAGAAAATTCAAGAGAAAGGATGACGACGTTTGGTCAGTTATGACGGAATACTGATATCTTTATTTAACAAATGGTAAACACCACAGCGTACACTATTGAGTTATGGATGCACGCGGAAGGTTGCTAAGCACGAAAGAAGCGTAAGAGTCGCTCGAGGCGATAGCCGAGAGCGACTCTAGCTTCTTGAGTGCTTAGCAAACCTCCCAAGTGCATCCATAACTCAATAGTGTACGCTGTGGTGTTTACCATTTGTTTTATAACATAACATTGATACATTGTAGCTAAAGAGTTCCCTTTTATTTAACAAATCTTACGTGACCAGAAAAAAACAAGCGCGCGCGGAAAAATAGTCTTTGCATTTGCTCACGTCAGCAGCGTACACCCATGGGCAAATGGGGGACACTAAATTGACCAATCAGAGCGCGCGCTTTACTTTGGTTATGTTATAACATATCTTCCATGACCTAATTTGAGAGAGGTTGTCATAGATTAGATTAGATTATACGTAGATTATAGGTCAACGCTCTTTTCAACTGAAAGTTGTGCGATTATCTTTAACCAATTATTTTAAAACATCGTTTCAAATACTTTCAAAGTGACGGGACTTCGCTTCCTTCATACATAGTTCCTGCGAATGCCATTTGTTTTCTATTTTGGCACGGCAATGAAACAGTTCTATAACTTTACTTAAAAAGTGTTCAGTTCTTTTGAGTTGGCAGAAAAACTCTCAAGCTAGAACCCAAATCGTAAATAGGCTTTTGAAGATTCTGTCTTCTTCAATCATCTGTCAACCCCAATTATTGTCAGTTCTGTTCATGTATACGATTTTCCGGTACTACTCGTGCATGTGGAATGCACATCATCAATAATTTAAAATCAGAACTTGGTAGAGCAGGATAACGTGATCGTTTTCTTTTTCTATAAGTTTTTCATACAAAGAGTAGAATTCTGAGAATTCATACTTTCCCTTGAACCATTCCTCCCATGTAAGTCTAGCTTCTGAGAATTCAGAGAAGTATGACATAAATATATCTATGTTTTTGCAGCTTGTTATTTTTTCAAGAGTCATCGTCAGAGTTTTTAAAACTTCCTGTGTTAAATACAACTCAGACTTAAAATACAGATATGCTTTTCAATTATCGACGATAACACTTATTTAGTCATTTGTTTCGCGAGTTTTTTCTTGTCAAAAACTTCCATAATGAGACAGCCTAAGGCTTTTAAAATTCGGCATCATAATCAGTGTCGTAGCTACCTTTATACATGACTAAATTAGCTTGGTCAATGTGTCACATGGTTATTTGAACAATCCACTATTTCAGGTACATTTGTTTCACGCAGGATCTGTCATTATTCTAAACCGAATAAGGCAGTTTCAGGTATCTTTTTATTCCAATGATGAAAACCCCTAAAAAAGAAATAAATAAGGGAGCGTCACTCGAGCAGATAATTTCTTAACCTGCAAGAAGGCACTCGTAATTATCGCTGCAGGAAAAGGTGCAAACTCTCTGTTTACATAGCGCAACAACCTGTAAAATCATTTTGTTTGCGTAGTGAAACATGAACTTGTTCTTGTAGTCAATATTTAACTCTTTTATTCCCTTGAGTGACCAAGACACAATTTCTTCCTACCGTATCTGTACAACATCAAGCAGACAAGTGATGAGAATAAAGATAACTGTCAATGAGGGGATTATTGATTGATCTAATACCAAATTCTCGAAATGAACACAATGAGAATTGTAAAGCAGACAGTAAGGAGCATAATGTATGAAATCTTGGGAGTGAAAGTGTTGGTACGAATGCTTTGATTAGTCAATTTACCTGCCACTATTTCACTGAACCGGCCGCTAAATTCAACAGTTTGTTCGAACGGAAATCTTTTCCTCCATTTGAATCTAGAGAAATAAGAATTAACTTACTGAACTGGTTTTTTTTCCGCTTACGCTTCGTGCTTGGTACATAAATCCGAGCAGAAAATCCTCGGACTATAGCTTTCAGTATGGTCCTCGAACTCGGTTAAAAAAGAGGTATTTAATGTCCTTCGAAAGATTGACCGAAAGGCTATTTTTCGTATTCATGCTTAAATATAATTTCGCTTTCCAGCTAATTTGGCAAAAACTTTCGAATCGGTCCAATTATCGAGGGCAAATGGGAAACTATTTGCACAAGTAAACACCATGGAATAACGGAAATGAAGCTCCATGGTAATGAAAAAATTCAAAGTGATATTTTACGAGACTGATTCTAGAAGAACGTATCCTGAAGTCTCTGATGAAGTGTTTGCCATAAAGACAACCTTATTAACTAAAAATTGGCGTAGAAATTCCGCGGTACTTTACTTGTTCAATGTGGTGGAGTATTTTCACTTTCAGAGCTACAATCAGTAACGGACATTAAAGAACAATGTCTCGGCTTGCAGTTGCCCTACCGAACTTATCTCCAGCTATCTAGACAAAGGTATGGCTCCCATCGTCAAAACTTTACCATCATATATTAAAGACAGCCAACACGCTCTTCAAATTTTTCGAGACTTTAATTTCCCTGGCCAAAACAAACTTCTTTTCACCATGGATATTACGTCTCTTTACACTGTCATTCCTAATGGCGAACGCCTTCTGCCCCTTAAACTTTTTGATCAACGTACTAATAAGGAACCTAAATCTGAAACACTACTACGCTTAGCCGAACTAGTGCTCACACTCAATTGTTTTTCATTCGGAAACAACTTCTTCAAACAAACCAATGGTGTAGCCATGGGCACCAAAATGGGACCTAGCTATGCCAATCTTTTTGTAGGTTTTGTCGAACATCAATTTTTCAGCCAATACAACGGGTCCAAACCTGAACTCTACGGTCGCTACATCGACGACTGTATCGGCGCTACCTCCTCTACCAGAGAGGAGCTCACTCAATTCATAACTGCAGTCAATTCTTTTCACCCAGCTCTGAAATATACCTGGGAAATTTCTGACAATTCTTTATCCTTTTTAGACATCAAAGTTTCAATTGAAGGTAACGGTTTATGCACTAGTGTGTATTACAAACCTACAGACTCGCATAATTACTTGTTATATTCGTCTTCGCATCCATCTCACGTTAAGAATTCCATTCCTTTTTCTCAGTTTCTAAGACTTCGTCGTTTATGTAGTGATGANAGAAAACACGATGTTCGTCGATTGTTTTCTTACTTCACGGAAACGCTAATGAATAGTTCATTTTCCGAAACGTTTCTCTGCTGTTTTGGAACGCGTCGGAACAAGGCATTTTTGAAGTGTCTTATCTGGGAAATGATAACAAGCAACGACCTAAAAACAAGAGTCAAATCAGAGTCAATGTGCCAGTTCTTCGATAAACGTGGTTACCCTGTTTCCGTCGTTCAAGCGGGTTACCACCGCGCTCAACTTATTGATCGACATTCAGCACTACAAACGTCGCATAAGGAAGATTCCGACCGCATTCCATTCACTCTCACGTTTCACCCTCACAACCACTCAGTTAAATCCATCATTCTTAAAAACTTTAAATTACTTCAAAACGATCCAGAGACAAGCACTATCTTTTCGCAGCCTCCGCTCATTTCATTCAAACGCGACAAAAACATAGGCAATTTTTTGGTCAGAAGTTCTTTTCAGACTAATGACCAACCAGGCACTTTTAAATGCGCTCGTGCACGATGCAAAACGTGTCCTTTCATTCACAACACTGATAAAATATCGGGACCTAAACGATCCATTAAGATCACCGATCACTTCACGTGCACCTCCGCCAATGTAATCTATTGCATAACTTGCACTTATTGCAAAAAGATATACATCGGCGAAACAGGCAGAAGACTAGGTGACCGATTCCGAGAACACCTTCGAGACGTGGAAAGGAATGACAAGGACACATCGAAACCAGTCGCTAGACATTTTAATTTACCTAATCATTCTAAGCAACATATGGCAATCTGCGGTCTTTCCTTACACTTAGGTAACACGGAAAGCCGTAAAAATCGTGAACAAAAGCTCATCTTTCAAACCGGCAGTCTAAATTAAGATCCTGTCACGCCGGGATCAACGGACGCTTTTCATTCCACTAATTTGTTCTTGTTTTTCTCGTTGCCATGTTCCCACCAATAACGTAGCTCCATTTTCTGCCTTTAAAAGCACACACAACCCACAATTCCTCTGTTCGCTCCGACGAAGGGCTAACGCTCGAAACGTCAGCTTTTGTTATCGTTACGGTGACCAACTTACCATTTCAACTTTGTTGATGTATCCAAATTATTTCGTTACCCCCCACCGACGCAGCCCCAAACAGTTTCTTTCGAAACTAACAGCATTTAAAGAACAATGCACTTGACCTAAGAGAAAACAAAATATTTTGTTTACGTTTGAATTGGCAATGAGAACAGCAACTGTTACTAAAATAAAGTCTAACTCTTCATAAGGGATAGTTTAAAATCCGAGCGCTAAAAAGATATCCAACTAATCGATATTCAACATCATATTTGATGAATTTTCAGTGCACAAAGTGGAATTGTCAATTCTTTCCCTAACGTGCAGATAGAGCTAGAGCATTCCACTTTCAAAGCATCATGCTGAAAAACTGGATTTATTCCGCGAAATACGTTCATTCGGTTTCGAAGATACCAAGTGTTTACTCGGTGGATCTTTAACACGGACAATGACTAACAGTTTGTTGATCGAATTTTTTGCTCGTGTTCTATTCAGCTTCACACGCGGCGTGACAGAGCATTACAACCCTGATGAGCCTGGAGTGGAGACCTTTGGATATGACGATACCTTAAGCAGAGAGGGTCGAGAGTGGAATTGTCAACCCGTCGATAAACCTATTTATCAGGAATATTCACCGCCAAAGGAGGACGAGCATAATCTATCGTCAGTATATAATTCGCGGGTTAAATATCGGGTCATCAACGCAAGTTCACCAGATGAGAGTGAAGACGAACAGCAAGATGAAGATGACGAAATGGCTTGGAAGCGATTCAGACTATCCGCTCTTCGCACAGTTTGTCAGTCAATGTACATCGGCGCCTTAATTTCACTCTTAACTCCTGTAATCATCGGCCTACTGTACATCATGATTTCTTACCTCTCCTACGAAACGACACAGAACTGCCAATTTCAGCCGAAGGAGACAATCCCAATTAAAATACAGTGGATCAGAACACTGTCTGACGTGATTGGTGTTGCCTTTCTTTACATGTGGTTGTTTATGGAAATGCTTTTTCTTTTCCGACCATATCAGTTAAAGGGAGTGAAAAGAAAACTCATTCTTGTTACTTTTATCCTGTTTTGTGTGGATGCCGTGTATCGTGTTGTACTTCAAGTGTACGGGATATCACGTTCCCAGCTTTCTGTGTTTCAGACGATTCCTCTCTATGTTTTATATATAATTAGCATATGTTGGCAAGTTTATCTCCTTACAAATCACTTTCGGAACCTGTCGGGTAGAGCGAGTTTATTTATAAAAATATCAGCACCGAGCTTTTTCACTTTCATTACTGCCATCTTTACAGCATCGTTTATTTATCCAATGTACAACAAAAAAACTGAACATGGAAAACTCCTGATTGCGCTATTCTCGCCTCTCTTTGGAGTTATCTTTAAGGTGCTCTTACGACTATGCGCTCAACGCTTGAAGAAAATTGCTCACCCGGGACATTCGTACATCTTGTTAGTACCGTTGTATTTTGGATCAGCGGTCATGTTTCGAGTATTGCAGGCAGACCTTGACAACCTTAAATTCATCGCTGTTCTTGGAATAGTTCACGGAGCGGTAGAAGTTTTAGAACGAAGCACCATGGCCTTCATTGATCATATTTGCCATGCGGTCTGGAAAAGACAATCAGCTCCTTGGGGAAGTTTTCGCACTCCTCGTCGTGAGAGACTAATGGCCGATATCGCTATTCTAAGTATGATATGTGAATCAACTGCTATTGTGTCTGTTAACGGCGTTTTGTACTTGTATCAGTTCACTTACTTACAAACCATTTCACTTTTAAAGCTGCTGCAGGAATTTGCAATTCATACCTCAGTTTCCCTGATTATTGAGTGGTTTTTCACCGGTGTATCCTTGGCCATCGAGACTCGCTTTCAGAATATTGCAGTTATGGCTGTTTGGCGAAAGAGATGGAAAAGACACATTTTGGTTGCGATAACTAATCTGGTTCCAATGTCCATCTGGACGACAGCAAATATCTTGAAGATTGTGCATGGGCGCTTTGATGAATCTAAAGGTCTTCCGTGCAAAATGCCGTTTACTTAGAGAACTTCTTAAAACTAAATGCCGGCAGTCTTACAGCCTTTCTTGGGTTTATGAGCGTGTAGTGCTCATGATTATTGACATGTTGTATTCAATTCAATTAAGTAAACTTGGCATTGAGAAGAACAAAATCACCTTGCTCGGCTTGTGGGAGGCAAGAAATCTTTCAGTATTTTCTGAATCCAAGGTATCTTTCATAACGACAGAAAAAAAGTAGACTGCGAGCAAACTCCGTATTGACGAGACAGTGAGTTTCTTGGCTTGAAAAACAAGGACGCTATTGTTTTCCGTTTTCATGGCGTTCACTCATGCACATGCCTTCCCTCTTGATAATTAATGGTTATTCTTGATGGTAGAGTCTGATATGCATAAAGATCCAGAACTGTATGCAGATAAAATTGCCTACGAAGGATATGAGACACCAGACACCTAGCTCGATATAAAATTATACGGAGAGTAAGTTGACAGTAGTCGAAAGTTATGCGATCATCTTTAACCACTTATTTCGAAACATCCTTTCATATGTTGTCAAAATGATAGGACTTTGTTTCTCTCCTACATACTGCCTGCATACGCTGATAGTTTTTTTTAATTGTACACGGCAATTAAATAGTTCGATATTCAGTTCTTTTGTGAAACTTTTAAGTAAAAAAACTCTCGGGAAAAAAACCCGAATCGAAAATGAGCCTTCGATCTTTCAGTCTCTTCTACAAGCTTCTGTTATTGGTCAGTTTTATTCATGAATACGGTCTGCTGTGATCCGAACCTGGTACATTAACGTGATAGTTTTCTTCTTCTGTTTTTCATACAAGTATAAAAAGACTTACAAGAAGGCAAACTCTCTTTATCAACAATCCTCCACCACAAAATCTAGCTTTTGAGAATTGAGAGATGCAGGAATATAAACACGTGAATAGCTAAATGTTTTTGTCACTGATTATTGTCAGCGTTGTTAAACCTTCCTGTGTTTATTACAGTTCACACTTAAAATACAGACATTATCATGAGTCAGTTCGTTTCAAAAGCCATGCTTGCAAACGAAGTCGAGCCTGAAGGCTTTTAAAAATTGACTAAGTGAACAAAGAATATTAACTTTTAAGTACGTAAGCAAAATGATTCTCTTCCGCCTAGTTTTGGCTCTTCATTTAAAAAACCGTGTTCCTGTGTTCCTGTGTTATGTTAGAATCAGAGAAAGCTAAGTCCGCGCTTGCACCATCTTCAATATATCTAATGTCTCCTGTATACACGTAAGTGTGTGCCCTCATATAATTCCTACAGGGCTTTTAATTGAGGTATCCATGCCGCGCGTCCTAAAGAGTACATGGTCGAATTTAGAACGTACCTTCTTCAACCAAAAAAGTAATAGCAAAAGGAAATATTAGAATATTATTAAAAAACATAAGCGATTAATTGCCTAAACTGCAGTCTTCAATCATTCCATCCGTCTTTTATCACTTTTATCACTTGCGCTTTTTGTTAGTAACATTTTTAGCCAGAAAAAGTTTTAACATTTTACTATAACTAGACGCATAGCTGCGTGAACTCGGGCTTTCAATATCACACATCTGAAGTTATCTTTTGGGGACTGCAAAAATCAATCCCTAGTCCTCCAATTCAAGTACTGTCAAGGCATTGAGTTTTTCATTTTTTAATTCAAGCATCTTCAAGGACTTTCAAGGCTTTTACGAACCCTGAGTAGGTAATGTATTTTCCTTTAACTACAAGGAGAAGGGAATTTCTTAGCTATTATAGGTACCGAGTCATAGTCTGTTGCCAAATGTTCACGGGGAGTTTTCAGAAATCAGTAGTTTCAAGCAATATTACTGTTCAAAAGTTCAAATTGTTTTTAATAGGCTCTAAATATTGAATATTGCTGATGGCTGCAACAGAGAAGCAGTGCTATTTACAGTTTTAGTATATTAAATTAGAAGAATTTGACTTTCATTAAATACCAAGAGGGGATACACATATTTTGACCTTTTTTTGGGTTTGAAAATACATGTCATACAAAAAAACTGAAAACCACATCAAAAACCCTGTGCATTCGCTATTATTTCTTACCAGATTTTCGAGAATTGATTTGCTGTCAACTGACTCAGACAATATTCCTTCACTGTAATTACTTTTAGGATCTAAACTTATTTCAGTTCCACAAACATGAACAGTTTTTGGCTAATCATCTGACGGTAAATACTTATTTAAAGATGAATTTTCGTATAGTCTTTTGCCATACTGAGTCTCAGTGAGTCTTAGTAACATTAGATAAGGGATTTGAATTCCAGTAACTACCTGATTTTATTATGTGGTAGCAGAGTGAATAGACAGCCACAGCACAATTCACATTGAACTTTCTGGTTTCACAGGCATGACTCTGAAAAAGGGTACTATTTTGAACTTTATTAATTTTAACCCCTTTCAACTCAAATACATCATTGTTATGTATATACTCTGAAATAATGTACTAAGTCATTCAGTGATTCTACGTCAAGCAGCACACATGTACCTTGAGGATAGCTTGTACCATAAATATCCCTTGCATGAGAATCAAATATTTTCAAGCCCACATTACCTTTACAATAGATAGCAACTGCAGTACATCCTTTTGTCTAGACAAAATTGTTGAAATTTTTTAATGTAACTGATTGAAAGGCTCTATCTAAGGAGGTACAGTACTGATATCCTTCTATTGTAGCTTCTTGATGAATAGTACCAGTGTACCTTTCACTGTATTGAAGTTCATAGTCAGTCTCGAACATATTTAAAAGTGTGGGTAATTCTGTCTGCATTAAAAATGATTGTCTGGCTAACTGAGACAAACTTGGATACAACTGATTTCCAACATTCATTATTGACACAAGATCATTAGCAGAACTGATTCCTTGTTTGTTATTGTAAATCAAAGGGCATAAACTCATTGCAACACAATGTTGTCCTGAATTTTGTCCAAATATCAACTCATTAGCTTGGCTATTTGGTACCATTATTGTTTTGCTAGGGTCAATGTACATTGGAGTAAAACCAGAGTTTTTCTCTCTAATTATCTGAACTAAGTTGAAATTAACGTGTGTCTGACTCTTATAAAGACAAATGAATAAAGGCTGATAGTTTCGAAAGAGACTGTTTGGGGCTGCGTCGGTGGGNATCGAAAACCAGATAAACCAAAAGGTTGACGCTTCTTCTCGTGTCATTCAATCGAAGATCCATTCAAAATCCAAGCGCTAACCGCCAAAAAACTTTCGAAAAATGCAGCTTTCCGAGCGATCGGCATCCGCGGCACAGATTTCGTGTGCCAGGGAGCAACCGTCATGCTGTTTGCTCCACGCTGATTGGATAATGATAAACAATGCCCTGTTTCAAATGCCTCATGTGAGAGGGGAGTCAGGGGCATTTTCGCGCCGGCGATTCATCTATTGACACGCCATAAACCTCACACCAGCAACAGCAACAACAGCAGGCTGAACTTTTCTTGAAACTTTTCGAGAAACTAGAAAAAAAGGAGCTTTTTTATGTTTCTGAGCTTATGAAGAACTTGTCATTTAATTCTTCCTAACAGCCATGAAAAAACAAAATATTGTATTGTTATATCTGTGCAATCAAGTTGTGAGATATTTTTATGCCTGTGATAAATTATTTTGTATTAATTATTGTGCTTGACTGAAGTGCCTATGTTATTTCCTGAAAGCTTATTTGATAAAAACTTATCGTGCTCAGATATATGGCATAATAGACAGAAACATCATTAGGCCAGGCTAGCTGGAATCACCTCATATTCAATAATATCAATGTTGTTAATGATGGTCTAATAAAATTCTTTCTACTTTTTTTTATTAAAGAAAAAAGAAAAAAAAAAACCACAGAAATGAATCAAAGGCTCCTGTAGCGTTGTTAGTAACTACTAAACATAGTTTCTTTCTTATTGATGTCTTTTAGACCTTATTCAGTTTATGAAGTAGACTTCCATAGTTAGCGTAAGTAGTCTTCCAAAACTGGTGGCTGAACATCAAAATATTCAGCTGTTAGGTTACCGTATAAGCATGTCAGACAGTTCCGTAATATGGCACCTACAATGTACATTTCTCCTGCAGCACTCAAATCAATCTTTAAGTATTTCTTGAAGTCAAGAAATTTAAAATCATTTATGACGTCCCCAAAAATCCACTCCACTGACATTCGCACTTTACTCATTGACTTATTGAACAACTCCATTT